GGATGCCCGCACCCCCAAACCCCACACTCACTTGCCGAATGGGGCCCCCCGAGGCGCTGGGGGTGCTCTCCTCAGACGGAGGGAGAGGGGTCGGCGCTGCTTCTGGTCTCGGGGTGGTCGGAACCACGGGCATCCCGATGTACATACAGACACAGATCCATGTAATCGGTGCGGCTACAGGGAGCGACCTACACAGTACAGTCTTCCGCAGACAGATGGACAAACATACACAAAGCAGCGTGTTTGTATATGCCCCTGTATCTAGCTGTATGTATATAGAAGTTTGCATGCACTGTACGAGAACATGGATACACATATATGTACATAAGGTATGCCTGTGTAGAATGTATACATAGAGAAGAGAGATGCGGTAGACCGAGCTACATGTGATTATTGGGAAATTTAGAATAAATGAAGATTTTCTGCTGCGAGAACTCGGAAATGTGACCGCAGCCAAGTGTATTCAGTGCAAAAAATAGTTTGGATCTGGACATTATGTATCTTTCTCCTCCAGTAAGAACAGCACAGATGTGATTTTTAGGCGACTTAAATTCTCTCCAGGTGTGTGGAGCTTTGCACCAGGATTCGGGGTAATAAGAATATTCCCCTTCGCTTTCAGAATCGGAAATGACACAATTTCACTTACATGACGGTAATTTGGAAACAAAAAGCTCTGCTAGAGGTATAACGAGTGATCCTTTTACTGTGATCAGGAATCTCAGAAGCATAAATCTTTGCTCCCTTCTCCCTTAGACATAATTTCCAAGTTCTGGGGGAGTCGCTTTTAATTATGACATTACATTTAAGAAAAAAAAAAAAAAAAGTTCTGCTGGAAGATGTGTTGCTTTTAGAATAACTCCTACATGATGCCTAGAAGAGCTGCCTAGAGAGAGTTCTGTTCCCGAAGTTATTTATTGAAGGAACGAGACAGCTTAGGGAAAATCCGCTGTGAGCCAGGCAATTAATTCCCAGTCATGCACTTTAGTTTTTTTTCAACCTGAACGTCTCTTTACTAGATTATACAGCAGTTCTTTCGTGTTGACTTTGGCTAATTGCAGTTACTGTGAATTGCTAATAGTCGCTTGTTACAAGACTTGTGCTCTTTTCCGTCGCCAGCAGAGAGATGCAGGTGGACTCCAGACCGCCTGCTGCCTTGAGACAGTAACGGCCGGAATATCAAAGGGAAGGGAAAGGAAAGGAAGGGAAGGGAAGGGACGGCGGGAGCTCGGGGGTTGCCTGGATTTCACCAGGAATAGCTGTGTGAAGGCGGCCCTTTCTTCAGGAGCGGGCCGG